TATATGTATATTATATATAATACAAGTTTATGAATTATGTATATCAGTCACAAATAGAAATTAGATGCCAATTTTTCCAAAAGTCCTGTTACATTGGTGAAACACACACACACACACACACATACACACACACACACACCCTCAGCTCTCTAGGATAAGCAAAGCTTGCTCTGGCCATGGAACCCATCCTTTCTCTTTGCAACTGTGAACAAGCCAAGGCCCCAAAACCCAGACCCAAGATTAAATTCACAGTGGCCCATAACTTTAATCCCAGCACTAAGGAGGCAGAGGAAGGCGGATCCAGGCCAGCCTGGTCTATATAGTAAGTTCCAGGTCAGCCCGGGAGACCCTGTCTCAACAATAACAACAAACAATAACAACAAACAAAATAAGGCAAGCAACTCCCCAAAACGAAAACCAACCCCTCCAAACCCAATAACTTATAGTTCTAATGATTACAGTACCTGCCTCCTGCCCCTCTGACTTGTGGTTAGGTCATATAGTTCAGGTAAAAAGAATAGGATCTGAGTTGTATCTCAGACCCTAGGTGGAGACATAACATTCTAAACTGCCCAAAATGTCATGCTGAAACCCAAAATGTCAAGGTGCAGAGGTAAAAGGATTTACCACATCAGTTATGATATAGAAGTTGTAATAAAGAAGCTACATTGTGAGCAGAAACACAGCATGGTAATTCTCACAGTGAGAATCATCCCCACAAGGAGAGAATGAGGAGCTTTTCCAACAAGACAAATAACTTGGCCTTGTCGTCTATTTGAGTGGGATCATATTTGAAGACATAAGAGGGGGCCTGTTTGTTAGAAATATATTTGGGGTCACAAACAAAGAGACCACCATGCTAATTTTAAAAGCTTGAAAGTAAAGGCAGCTTTACTTGATCAGAAGGGTGCAAGAACAAAGGAATGAGTATTCTTTCTTAAGATCCCCTTCCCCTTTCATTCCTAAGAAAAGACAGTTTGGCTGTTCTGGTTGTTCCTCCTTGGTTGAGGGTCAACTGCTCAATCTAAACCCTACGGAGGAACTTAGAGAGGAAGGAGGCACGTTAGCAAGAATCTTTGACATTTGGGAATTCGGGACTCTGTCATGCACCTGGCATCCAGAAAGCCATAAAAGGAAGAAGGGAGCTTGTGAAGAAAACAAAAAGCTTAAAGGAACAAAAGTTTATTGCAAAGAGAGATAGATGGCAAGTGAATGTTACAAGTCACAATTGACATGTTAAGTAAGAAACAAATAGCATCAGGGTAAATATTAGTCCTGATGATTTCTTTTCAGGGTACTTAAAAGAAAGACAAGCCTATAGTTTCAAAATGTTTTGACGGAAATATAGTTTCTTAAATGTTCGTTCTCTCTTTAGGCAGTACATTTTAGAACACTGAGGCAGGATAGGAAGGCATGGAAATTATGGGGACATGGGAAAGAAAAGCAACCCTTTACCCCAGAGTCTGGTTGAAGACTCTTGCCTGCTGCTAGGCAAGAATTCCAGAACAACTCACCACAGTTGTTATAAAGGCTACCAACATAGGCTTATTCCTTTCATATATAGATATTTTATGTTAAAGTAGCAAACAACCAAGCTTAATGGCTTAATGGATATGACATTGGCCAGGACCGCATTCATTTTCCCAGACACAGCCTGGGCCTCTTAAACAAGACTTCACTTTGTTTACAGTAAAGATGGGCTACCTTCTTGTGTCCCTGTGAGTTACCTTATCAATTGCAGTCCTGTCAGATGTCCCTTAAGAACTACCTAGTGAGGTCATTTACATTTCTTAGCAACCCCTTGAAGATAGTAACTTCAAACACCACCAAAATCCATATGAGCTTTCTCTTCAAGAAGCTCACATTTGCTCTTTGGGCTGTGTCTTACTTTCTTTTGAGTGCTTTCTTTCTCTTAAGTCTTCTACTTCAGCCTATATTAAACTCTTAACTCTGGACACATGCACACTACTTGCACACATGCATAGTTCTATGGAGCCAATGAAACTAGGTGCCCTAAATGTCTAGACTCCACCTCAATACTGATCAGGTTCCTGGCCCAGGCTAACCCAAACTGGTCAAGAGTTCAAAATCACCACCACCAAGTGGGGCACCATAGGCCATGGGGCTGATCCTCGACTGGGTGCTTTTACATAAATTGCAAGTTTAAGAAGGATGGTTAAGGACCTGGAGAGATGATGGTTCATTGATTAAAAGCTCTTATTGCTTTATTATGAGGGCCAAAGTTCAGATCCCTGCAGCAACCCCTCAGGCCGCTCACAAACACTTGTAATTCCAGTTTGAAGGGGTCAAGCACCCACTTCTGCTGTCTTTGGGCATGTGCGTAGACACACACAAACACACACACACACACACACACACACACACACAAAAGAAAAAACACCACATATCCATATAAATAAAATAAAATAAATCTTTCTCAAAAAAAAGATAGTTGGGGGCTGGAGAGATAGCTCAGCAGTTAAGAGCATGACTGCTCTTGCAGAGGACCCAGGTTCGATTCCCAGCACCCACATGGTGGCTACAAACTGTCCTTAATTCCAGTTCCAGGGGAATCCGAAACCCTCTTCTGACCTCCGCAGCACTGCAGGACACAGGTGCACTCATATGCATGCAGGCAATACACTCATACACATAAAATAAAAATAATAAATATTTTTTAAAAGATAGCTGGATAACATATCTATCATCTATATATAAAACAATGATAAAGAAGAGGTAACAAAATTGAAAGGGAGTATAGGGCATGTAAGGAGTTGAGGTGGGAGAGGGAGGGGTGGAAATTATGTAAATACAGAACTCATATTTGAAATTAAAAAATAATACTAGAAATGCAATTATCTTAAAAAAAAAAAAAAAGGACAATTAAGTATCCAGGGCCTCTGCAGTTTATCTGTGTCACATCATGGAAGCCTGACACTGAGGAAGTCAGAATTGCCCTAGGCAGCCTCCTCACTGATGGAGGATTGGGGTGTTTTGATGTACGCAGCATTAAGCTGTGTTTTATAAAAATAAATTAAATCCAACTCTGCTCCATAAACTGCCTTATCAGAAAATTATTTTCAAATTGATGTCAAAGCCACAACTCTGCTTTGGTCTCGATTGAGGTCTCTGTAAGTCTCAGTCAACTCCTAAGCCTGCTGAGGCAGGTGGAAGTTGGGAGCTGTGTCTCCTATTCTTGTCCCCCAAATGCTGACAACACATTATGTCATTCCTAAGAATGGTCACTTGATGTGAGGCACCAAGGGTCATTAGGAATTAAGCTCTAATTGTTTATATTAGGCATCAAGTTATGTCATGGTCGTCAGATTCCAAGCAGTTAGGGTTTGATTGTCTGATTGTTAGAGTGGAGAATATCTGACACGCCGCCCGCATCCCCCCCCCCCCCCCCCCCCCCAGATCAGCAAAGTCAAATCAGCAAAGGGCAAAGATCTCCTTTCGTCTGGAACTGCTTTGGAACTAAGAAGAGGCATGAAAGCAGGCCAGGTTTGCACTGTTTATTTGTCACAGGATCGTAGAGCTGTACAGCTTGAGGCATAAAAGACCTGAAGAGTAGTTTGTAGAGGGGAGGGAGAGATATTGCAAGTGAAAGGCCAGACTGTGATGTCACTCAGAGGTCCAAATGCTATGGAGAGAGGTCTCTATATTTTTCTGTCCTCCACCCTAGCAGCTGTCTCAGTTCTGGTGCTCCTAAAAGAGAATTCAGACAGGACAGAGTGAATCAAGCCATCAAGAGTGTAACTACAGAAACAAGGAAATAAGAATACACTCTAGAAAAGAAGCAGGCTGAGGTGAGCAGCAATGGCCTCAACCCTCGTGTCTCTCCACGTTGGGTACTTCTAGGAAAAGGACAAGCTCTTCTTAGAAGCCTATTTTTCCCTGAATTCAGTTGAAGTAGAGGAATGATATGCAGGATTGTGAATAAGGATTTAAGCACTCCTAAGAGTGAAAAGTTTACTCTGAGCATGCTCCCTGAAGAGGGAGTCATGAAACTGCTGTAATCTACCCAGCTAGAATGAACCAATATCATCCATTGCCCTTTACATTCTATTTTGGGTGCACTGATCTGGCCCTTCTGGAGACAATTACTTCCACCATCATTTTATCTTGACCATTTGTCCTTCACCATTATCTTTACATCTTGTTTCAGAGCCTGCAGTTGGTCTACCCATTGTTCTTTATGTCCTATCTTTGGGGGACATGTTGGTCAGTCCCTCCTGGACCTACCCTCCTGCCTAAGGTAAAGGTACTTGGTGATGGTACAAGCTAGATGGTAACAGCTGAAGTTCCTGAGGCAGCTGGAGCTTAATGGCCTGTGATCTGGAAGATAAAGACCATACCTGAAGGTTAAGTAAACAGGGGCAAGATGTAATTAGAATTAAAACAATAAGAAGTTAGCTGTGAATAGGAGTAAAAGAATAATTATAGTGGCTAAAAGTGACACCATAGGGTGACAGCTAAGTATGATAGTGATTGTGAGTATGAGAATCCCTGTGCCTAGTGCAAGAGCGCAGCCACACTGGGTAGCAGGGTCAACCCAGAGATTGCAAATTGAGATCACTTATAACCTTGGCCCATGCCTCTCCTGTGTCTGGTGATGTCTAAGGGTGTATTCCAGTGGGGCGACATCAGAGGAGATAGAGATCTGCAGTGACCTTGTAGGAACAGGCCATTTAAGATAGATCTGTCATGGGCAACAGGCATGGAGA